ATGTAGAGGCAGTCCCCGTCGTCCCCCTGCTTGATGACCTCGGCGCCCTGCGCGAACTCCTGAGAGGGCCCTGGGACACACAAATGAATAGACACAAATAATAGGATTCCCCATACTTTCCCATCTTTTCTGTGTTTTTGTCTTCCACTTCCCATATTTTCCCATCTGTTCTGGGGAATCGACGATTAATTGTGTCTGTGTGTGTGTGTGTGTGTGTGTTTTTGTCCCTCCTGAGCTCCTTCGTGTGGAAGGCGTTGACGACGTCCTGCAGAGGCCCCGCGTCCAGCTGCCCACAAATCACCTGGCCGAGCGCGCGGCCGGCACGCCCCGCCGCCCATGTCTGCAGGTGCCCAGGGACACACACACAACACACAACACAGACCACACAACACACAACACGCACAACACACATACACAACACACATACACACAACACCACATACACAACACACACACATACACATACACATACACATACACATACACAACACACACAACACACAACACAAAAAACAACACACACATACACACAACACACACACACACGTACACACAAATAGACAAACATCCCAGGATTCCTCAAACTTTCCATGCTACCTGGGTGTTCGTCTTCCAATCCACTTTCCCATCTCTTCCATATTCTCCTGGGGATCGGCAGTTCTTTGTGTCTGAGTGCCTTTTTTTGCCTCCTGAATGCTTCCACACCTGACCCTCCTCGGGCGCTCTCAGCCTTCTGAAGCCCCATGAGGCCCTCGCTGGGGCGCTTGCCGGCAGGCTGGTTTCATGGCCGACCTGCCTGCCCTGGGCGCACGGAGCCGAGGCGACCCGCAGGCCCGAGGGGCACCGCGGCCCCCCTTGGGTGGCAGAGCCGATCCCCCGCAGCGCTCGTGCGAAGGCGCCGTCGTTCCCGCCGCCGCCGCTGCCGCTGCCGCTGCCGCTGCCGCTGCCGTCGTCGTCGTCGTCGTCGTCGTCGTCGTCGTCGTCGTCGTCGTCGTCGTCGTCGTCGTCGTCATCGTCGTCGTCGTCGTCGCCAAGCGTGGCCATGCCCCCTCTGGCCTGCGAGCCGCAGCCCCTGACCCAGGCCGAAGGAAAACGGCCAGCCCAGAGTGGTCACGGCAAGCCCAGAGTGGAGCCTCGGGGCTTCGTCTCGAGGCTCGTGGCCCGGCTGCAGAGCTTCACTACCCCGAGGCCCCAGGGTGGGGCTTCTCTATGTCGTGGTCAGCTCTGAAATCCCCGGAGGACGACGAGGATGCGGAGAGGGCTTGGGGGGACGGATAAGTAACCCAGACCCCCGACGTCGTTTTTTTTACAACGTCGACCCCCCGAGGTCAGGACCTCTTCCCAAAGACCGGTTTTTCATCCTGACTCGTTTTTGGACAGATCCGAGGCCCGGTAAAGGCCCCTGAAGGCCGAAAACAACGAAAAACCTCACGTCGTGTTTTTTTCACACCGTGAGGGGGTCTGGGAAAGGGTGTGAAGTGCAGTCGCTGCCTTGCTGGTGGCCCAGTCTCGCGGTGCCAGGCCCGAGGCATGCCCTCTCGCGCACCGAGCTTTGGACATGGTCCTCCCGACCATCCTCAGCCCTGCAGAACAGCCCTTGACCTGAATTTCCAGACTCGCCTCGCCCTGAGGGCTGGCCCTAGACCCATGCCTTCCAACCGCTGGTGCTCGATCGTCGCCATGCCAACTCCCACGCAAAGAGATGCCCCAATCAATCGACAAGGAGTAGTGGAAGTGAGAAGTTAGGCTTAGTTCGGTATGTACCCCAGTTGGGGAAATCGACTCCACAAACTATCAGCATCCTTCGCCACCTGAGAGTACTGCTGTATTGTAAGAGCAATACCCTGGTAGCCAAACTACTCCTCAAATGTACCTGGCCAATTTTGGTGCACTTTTGCGCATACGGCTTCGCAGCTGGACCAAGCGGAACATCGCTCTCGCTGTTTCCCCGCTCCGCGAACCAGATACCTACGGAGGACCCTGGAGCTCGCTTGAGATATCAGGAGGTCCGCAGAAGCATCCAGAGGCCCCATACAACGTGCGGAGCCGCCCAATAAGCAGATACAAACAAGGTCCAAACGCAACGATCCCTCATTCGCCTCTCCCCTCTCGGCGTACCCAGACTCCCAGAAAGCAGATCTAGGTCCAAACGCAATGATCCCTCACTCGCCTCTCCCTTCTCGACGCACCAGGACTTTCCTCTGACGGAGCCATTGCCGTCTGCATCTCGGCCTGCGTCCACGGGTCGTCCGCAAGCGTCCGCCCAGGGAGGAGGGGCCACCGCTCCTTGCTTGCTTGAGAGGGAGCCACGTCCTGGAATGGACGGGGCACTCTCGAGATCTGGGGTGGGTTCTGGGAGGAGGGGGGGGGCAGGATGGGGGGCGAGACAAACTATGTGCGCTCGCGTCATATCTGACGTCCTACCCCTCCCTCCCATCCCTTACCATGGCGTAGATCTCCATTCTATTCGCTCAGTCGGATGTCGTAGCATGGCATAGCATTACATGGCATAGCATGGTCTTGAAGATTAACGCGTAGCATAACATAGCATGGCGTGGCGACGCCCCAAAGTGGGGGGGGGCTTCCGCGGCCCCCAAAATCGACGAATCGATACCGAATGTGTAATCCCTTCCGATGATTTTTTCGGGTGGGCATTTTTTATATGTTTTGTCCTATTTGGAAGGACATAGTGACATAATGACGCCAGCGCTGCAGCGGGAGGCATGGCGCTGGACATAATGACGCCAGCGCTGCAGCGGGAGCACGATTCGGAACGAGCGGACGCGCGGAAATGAGGCCAGCGCCGCAGCGGGAGCACGATTCGGAACGAGCGGTAGCCCGAAAATGAAGCCAGCGCTTCAGCGAAAGCAGCATTTTGAATAAAAACCAAAGCGCGGAAGCGCGGACATGAGGACGCGTAGCCTGACAGAACATGGCGTGGCGACACCCCAAAAGGGGGGGGCTTATGCGGCCCCAAAAATCAACGAAACGGCACCGAATGTGTAATCACTTCTGATGGTTTTTCTTCACGGCATTTTCTAAACTGTGGGGCCTATTTCTGGGTAGTCGAAGCCAATCTGGCGCCAATCTGGCAGGCCCAATCTGGCAAACGGGGGCAATCTGGCGAGGGAGCCAACGCGAATCCAGTCTGGCGAATAACCCAAATCATCCAGTTTGGCCGGGCCAGATTGGCCCTTGGGGCCCAATCCAATTTGACAGTCTGGCCTTCGACTACCCAGTATTTGGAAGGACCGAAAGACATGCCGTGGCCTGGGGCTGGAAATACTGACGCCAACGCTACAGCGGGAGTACGATTCGGAATGAGCGGAAGCACGGAAATGAGGCCAGCGCTGCAGCGGGAGCACCATTCTGAACGAGCGGTAGCCCGAAAATGAGGCCAGCGCTCCAGCGAGAGCAGCATTTTGAAAATCACCCAAGCGAAAACAATTTTTCCGGGAATCCGGTGGGCAAAAAACCAGTACGCGGAGGGGGCCGGCCATTCCCTGGACGCCACCAGGGGAGAGAGGAGAGTAGCATTCATATTGTTTCATTGTGGAGGAAGGGGGGGAGGAGGGAGGGTGAGGTGAGGAGGGAGGGGAGGGAGGAGGGAGGCAGGAGGGGGGATGAGGGAGGGGGAGGAGGGAGGGGAGGGGGGAGAGGAGGACGAAGGGGAGGAGGGAGGGAGGGGAGGAGGGAGGGGGGGGGAGGAGGGAGGGAGGGGAGGAGGGAGGCAGGGGAGAAGGGAGCGGGGTTTCTGGGAGTCTGCGAGGAGCGGCGGGGGGAGGAGGGCGGGGGGGATCGGGGTTCGACGCTCTACTTGTGCCGCCTCGCGACCCCCTTGGGCCTCGGCAGGCCTCCGGAGGTGCGAGGCCTCCAGAGCGGGGACTTCTGGAGGCGTCTGGGGGCGTCCGGTTGGGCGCAGCATCCCTCGGAAAAGCTTGGACGCGGGGACGGGTGGGCCAGCGAACGGGCGACACTTCCGATGCGCAGTCGCCGTGAGCTGACGGAGGGGCAGACCCGTGGACAAGCGGGACGTCTGGACTCGGTGGCGGGCGGCGCGAGCATCCCGTGTGCCAGCGGCACATTGCGCTGCGCACGCGCGCCTGCGAATCGAGAGACACAGTGAATGGCAATCGGCGGCATGCAGGCCGAAATGCAAATGAACATACATCGACGCGCAAGTCCACGCACGCCATCGTCGCACGTGCGCCGCCGCTCCAAGGATTTCGCAAGTTCCCAGCGGGCTTGACATGACCTGGGCCCACCTTGGGCCTCCAGTGGCCTCTGGCGGGGGGCCTCTCCCCAGACATGCGACGTCCTGACTTTTTCAATATGGGGTCCCTGGAAGTCCCCACCCTTTCCCCGGGACCGGCTTTTCGTCCTGAGTCGTCCTTTGACGGTCCCGAGGCCCGGCGAGGGCCCCCCGAGGGCGAACGCTGCCAAAAACCTCCCGTCGTGATTTGTTGTTACGACGCGATCATGCGTGGATCTGGGAACTCTCAGGAGACCTCCAGAGATCGCGCGTGCATGAGCTCGAGCGCCGCAGAGCCGCTGCGCGCGCCCCGCGTGCGCGCCAAGCTCAGGCTTTTGACTTGCTTTGCCGCTCGGCGGGGGCCCCTGGACCCCTTCCCCGCCCCTGCCCCCCTCCTCCTCCTCCTCCTCCGCCTCCTCCTCCACCTCCTCCTCCTCCTCCGCCTCCTCCTCCTCCTTTTCCGCCTCCGCCTCCTCCTCCTCGTCCTCCGCCTCCTCCGTCTCCTCCTCCTCCTCCTCCTCCTCCTCCTCCTCCTCCTCCGCCTCCTCCTCCTCCGCCGCCTCCTCCTCCTCCTCCTCCTACCCCATAGAGCAGATGTTATCTGCTTTTGGCGACTGTTCAGGACCCCTCTGCTTTCGCGACTGTCAGGAGCGGATCGACGAAGCACCGGCCCAGACCCAGACCCGTCCCCCGTTCCCCACCCTTCAGCCAACTGTCGACAACCAGAACAAAAGCACGCTTATGACCATCAACGGCGCAACTCCAGCGCCAGCCCGCAACGAATGTCAGAGCCCTGCGCGCGGTCACGCGCGCGAGAGCGGGCGGTCGCCTGCATCTGCTTGCTCTCCTTGAGTGCAGTCTTGATCTTCACCACGTCCTCCTCGCTCTTCTCGAAGACGGGCTTCTGGTAGTCGGAGAGCGACTGGGCGTCGATACTCTGAGACATCACGCCCGAGCGCCGCCTCCTCGGAGGCCCCTCCAATCAGGCTGGAAACGAAACCGGGCGCCCAGATCGCACAGGACCCCTCCCGGGGTTCATCCTGGCTGACTGTTCCAGGCCATCCAGCGGTGGCGACGGGGACCTCGTCGTCGGGACGCCCAGGAACCTCCCAAACGACGACGTCCTCGTCGACGTGGTCGTCGTGGTCGTCGTGGTCGTCGTGGTCGTTGCGGTCGTCGTGGTCGTTGTGGTCGTCGTGGTCGTCGTGTCGTGATCGTCGGCGCGGTTGGCGGCGTTGCCGTCGTCGTCGCCAGCGCCGCCAGCGTCGTCGCCATCGACGACGCCGTCGCCGTCGTCTTTGTCGGCGCCCAGTCGGGAGGGTTGGGCTCCTGTTCTGAGCGGACCTTATCTTCTCCATCTCCGCCGCCTCCTGGGCGGGATCGTGCCACGGCGAAGGGTGGGGCCACTCCGGGGGGAGGCCCAGCAGAGCTGCCTCGATGCGCCTCCTCCTCCTCCTCCTCCTCCTCGTGCTCCTCCTTCCTCCTCCTCCTTCTTCCTCCTCCTCCTCCGTCCTCCTCCTCCTCCGTCCTCCTCTTTCCTCCTCCTCCTCCTCCTCCTCCTCCTCCTCCTCCTCCTCCCCCCTCCCTCCCTCCTTCTCCTACTCGTCCTTCTGGTCCTTCTGCGTCGTCGTCCTCTTGCGTCGTCTTCCTCGTCCTCCTCGTTGTCGTCGTCCTCCTTGCCTTGAGTTCGCGCCCTGGTGTGCTCGTGCAGCGCTTGTGCGCTCTTCCAGCGCAATCGATCTGCGAAGATGACGATTCTTGGATGTCTTTTTTGGCCAGTCTTCCGGAGGCCCCCGAAAGCCGAAAACACATCCACACGTCAAACGTATGAAAAGACCTCCCTCCTCCTCCTGCTCCTCCTCCTCCTCCTCCTCCTCCTCCAGGCTCTGAGATACGCGCGGCAACTTCTGGCGTGGTGCGAGGGCCACCCTGGACAGCAGGTGGGACAGAACGGTCGGAGCAGCCCTTTGGGTGTGGCGGCGCACGCACTCGGGGAGACGGGAGCTCCAGCGGTGCGGTCGTCGCCGCAGTCGTCGTGGTGGTCGTGGTGGTCGAGGTCGTTGTGGTCGTCGTGGTCGTCGTGGTCGTCGTCGTCGTCGCCGCTCGCGCGAGGGAAGCAGGATGAGGCGGACGAGGAGGAGCAACAGTATGATGACGAGGGGAAGGAAAGGAATAATGAGGATCAAGGACGAGGAGAAGGAAGGAGGAGAAGGAGGAGGATGATGAGGAGGAGGAGGAGGAGAAGCAGCAGGGAATGCTGGTCAACTCTTGATGTAAGTTTGGATATTTTGGGCCTTCAGAGTCCTCCTGGGAGGGAGAATTGTGTAGTGATGATGGTGATGGGTGTGGTCAGGAGGAGAGGGAGGAATATTACGATTAAGAATCGGAGCATGACACATAAAATAACGGTGGCGATGGTGATGGTGGTGACGGAGTTGATGATGATGATGATGATGGTGATGATGATGATTCTGGTGGTGGTGATGCTGACGATGGCGATAGCGATGGCGATGGCGATGATTATGATGATGATGCCGATGAAGTGATGATTCGTATGATGATGCTGATAATGATAAAGATGATGATGCTGCTACTGTTGATGATCAACATGATGGTGCTGATGATGGTAATGATGATGCCGATGATCGTGATGATGATGATTACGATGATGAGGATAGTGGTGATGAGGATGATAACTGTGATGCTGACGATGAAGATGATTGATGTGATGATGGCGATGGCGATGATGACGATAACAATTCCGATGACGATGATGCGGATGATGATGATGCTGATGATGATGATGATCCTGCTGCTGATGATGCTGATGATGATGATCATGCAATGATGATAGTGGTGATGCTGCTGATGATGGGTGTGCTGCTGCTGCTGATGATGATGATGGGTGTGATGACAATGGGTGTGATGATGACGACGACGACGACGATGATGATGATGATGCTGATGACCATGATGATGATGCTGCTGATGATGATGTTGATGATGACGATGATGGCATTAATGCTGAGTATGCTGATGATGATGACGATGACGATGATGCTGCTGATGATACTGATGATACTGATGATACTGACGATGCTGATGATGATGATGATGACGATGATGATGATGATGATGATGATGATGATGCTGATGCTGCTGATGATGATGATGATGATGAACATGATGAACATGATGATGATGGTGATGATGATGGTGATGATGATGCTGCTGCTGCTGATGATGATGATGATGATGATGGCGATGGCAATGATAATAAAAATAATGATGAGGATGAGGTATGGTGGGATGATGATGGATGGTGTATGTCGGACGAGTCATAATAATAGAAGGAGAAGGAGGAGGACGAGGACGAGGACGAGGAGGAGGAGGAGGAGGAAGAGGAGGCATACTGGAAGGAATAACAGGAAAACGAGGAAGAGGAGAAGGAGGAGGATGAGGAAGACGAGGAGGAGGACATGAAAGAGCGGGAGAACGAATGGGAGGAACAGGACGACCACGAGCGAGAAGTGAGAACGGGCCCCCCACTGGCCAGCGCAGACCGCAGCTCCCCCACCCCCCCATCCTCGTTCTTCCTCCTCCTGCTCCTTTTCGGGCCGTCCTCTTCCTCCTCCTCCTCCTCGTCCTCGTCCTCGTCCTCCTTCTCCTCCCCATCGTCCTCGTCCTCCTCCTCCTCCTCATTTTCGGGGCCGCCGCTCCTCCTCGTCCTCGTCCTGCTCGCCGAGCTCGCCGACCTCTCGCCGGCGGGCGGGAACCCCAGCGCGACAGCGCGCACGCGTCGCGGCGCCGTCTGCTCCGCGCGCGCCCGAGTCGACGAAGCCGGCACCGCGGCGAACCCACGGCGAACCCACGACGACGACGACGGCGACGGCGACGACGACGACGAAGACGAAGACAAAAACGACGACGACGACGGCGACGGCGACGACGACGGGTGCTCGCTTTCTCGCTCGCTCGCTTGCTAACTGGAGCAAGCATGCGAGCGAGCGTCCGAGGGGGAGTTTGCCCCAGTGGCCGAGGGGCCCTCCCCAAGACGGAAGGCCGCGGGTCGGGACAAAAACGGCGCGGCGACACATTCAGTTCGTCGCGCGCTCGTTTTCAACGCTGGGGCATCCAGTGAGGGAAGAGAGAAAGAGAGAGTGTGTCCCGGCCGGCCTTTAATTTGAGCACGGTCTTGATATAGACTTTCTCTGATGGGGAGGGGAGTCGTGCCTTTTCGTCCGTTCTCTGCGGTCTTCCTGCCTCGGGATACGTTCCAGTGGCTGCCCCCTCGCCGAGAGTGTTCCAGGGGTGCCCCGATCCTCCCGAAAGGCCACGGGAGTGGAGAGTTGTGTCCTCCTCCTCCTCCTCCTCCTCCTGCTTTTCCTCCTCCTCCTCCTCCTCCTCCTCCTTCTTTTCCTCCTCATCCTCCTTCTTTCCCTCATCCTCCTCCTTGTCCTGGTCCTCCGTCTCCTCCTCCGTCTCCTCCTCCTTCTCCTCCTTCTCCTCCTCCTCCTCCTCCCGCCCGCCCGCCCGCCCGCCCGACCGCCCCCCGTCCCTCCCTCCCTCCCCTCCTCCCTCCCTCCTCCTCCTCCCTCCTCCTCCTCCTCTGCTCCTCCTGCTCCTCCCCCTCCTCCTCCTCCTCCTCCGGCGGCGGGGCCTGGTACGGCGATGGCTGCCCGCGCGGCACCGCTCGAGGGCGCGCGCGGCGCGCTCCTCGCGGTCCACGCCGCCGCTGGGCTGGCGGCCCGCGCCCCCGCAGGCGGCCGCGACGCGGTGCGCCTGCTGCGCGCGGCTGAGGGCCTCCTCCGCACGGCCGTGGCCGTGCTGGCGGCGCCGCCGCCTGCTCCCGCCCCGCCTGCGGAGGCGGCCGCGCCACCCGCCGCCCCGCGGCGGCGGCGCCGCCCGCGCGGACGAGGCCGAGGAGCAGCCGCGGACATGGCGCCGCTCGACATGGAGGTGGTCGACGACGGGGGCGGGGCGGCGGAGGGTGCCGTGCGGGGCGCTGCGGCTCCCGATCCATCGCCCGTGCCGTTGCTGGAGGACGACAGCTGGGCTGATGCTCTGCCGTTGGTGCAGCGGAGCCGCCCGCCATCCAGCGCGGCCTCGCGCGAGGGCAAGGGCAAGAACACGGGCAAGGGCGGCGAGCACAATGACAAGAGCTGGCGCGCTGGATTGGAGATCTGGCAGCTTCGGAATCTCGTCCGCCGCCTGGCGACGCGCGCGAGGCTCCCCAAGGTGCCCGAGATCCCGTTCGACCGCGACGAGCTGATCGCAATGGCCAGCAACTTCGAGGAGATGCTGACCGCGTACGACGGCCCCCGCGCAGGTCGCGGCTCGGGCACGTGACAAGCGAGCTGGGCGTCGACATCGGTAAGCCCGTCGCGCTCGGCCTCGCGGCCGGGGGCCCTAGGCAGCCGCACGGCGCAGGGCCCCCGTTCAGGGGAAAGCCGTCGACTGCATGCAGTTCACGGTCGGGGGGTCTGGCTCCTCAGGTGGAGACCAGGCCCCCCGCGGCGGGAGGCGGGGAACACGCGCTCTCCTGAGACTCGGGGATCCTCCTCGTCCTCCTCCTCCTCCTCCTGCTGCTCCTCCTCCTCCTCCTCCTACTCTTCCTCCTCCTCCCTGTCCTCGTCCTCGCCCTCGTCCTCGTCATCGTCCTCGTCCTCGTCCTCCTCATCCTCTTCCTCCTCTTCCTCCTCCTCCTCCTCCTCCTCTTCCTCCTCTTCCTCCTCTTCCTCCTCTTCCTCCACCTCCGCCTCCTCCTCCTCCTCCCTGTCCTCCTCCCCCCCGCCCGCCCGCCCGTCCTCCCTCCCTCCCTCCTCCTCCGTCCTCCTCCTCCCTCCCTCCTCCTCTCCTCCTCCCTCCTCCTCCTTCCTCTCCTCCTCCTCCTCCTCCTCCCTCCTCCTCCTCCTCCCTCCTCCTCTCTCCTCCTCCTCCTCCTGGTCCTCGACCTCGTCCTCGTCATCGTCCTCGTCCTCCCCTCCTCTTCTCTCTCTTCCTCCTCCTCCTCTCCTCCTCTTCCTCCTCTTCCTCCCTCCCCTCTTCCGCCTCTCGCCTCCTCCTCCTCCTCCTCCTCCTCCTCCTCTCCTCCTCCTCCACCTCCTCCTCTTCCTCCTCCTCCTCCTCCGCCCCATCCTCCTGGAGAGGCGTCCGAAGAAGAGCCGGCCTTCTCGGAGCGCGGCGGGGCTCCTCGGAGGCATTCGTGCCCTCCGTGGAGCCGCCTGTGTCTTCGCAGAAAGCTCAGGTCACTGCCTCTCGGTGCCTCCCTGGCTTCGACTCCGCCGGACATGCTCTGGTGGAGACCCTCCGCCTCACAGCTGTGTCGGAAGGAGCGCTGTCGGTTTCGTGCGTGCTTTGCTGGCCCGATGGTCGAGGATGCTCCTCGAAGGTCCTCGCTGAGAAAAAATCCACACGTCCGAGCGGTGTCAAGAAATGGGCATCAGAGGATCTTGAAAGCAGGGCGGAGATCTCCGCCCCATTTGCGAGATCGTCCAACAAGAAGTACGGCGGCTCCGAGGTCTGGCCTGGGTCGCCCACTCCAAACCTTCTCGGGTAGCGCAGAACTCGTGACGGGAATTCTTCGCCATTCTCGGCCTCCAGGGGGCCCTTACCAGGCCTCGGGACCGTCAAAAAAGGCTCGGGATGAAAAACCGGTCCCGGTGAAGGGGTCCAGACCTCGGGGGGGTGACGTGGCGAAAAAATGCTGACGTCGGGGGTCTGGGGACGAAGGTCACTGCCTCTCGGTGCCCCCCCCCTGACTTCGACTCCGCCGTGCATGCTCTGGTGGACTCTCCCACCCGCAGCTGCGTCGGAAGGAACGCCCCGTAGGGCGGGAGCCCCCGTCTCGGTCGGCGGATCCGACGTCGGGCCTGGGTCGTCCAGCCTCGCACTTCGCGCCACGCGACGCGCGCTCGCCCGCGCTACCTCGCACCGCCGCCCCGGAGGAGGTCACGTCTGCGGCCCAGGCTGCGGGGCGCGATCTTTGCGTGCCCTGGACTTCGGGCCCGCCACGCCTTTGGGGCGATTGCACAAGCAGGGCGGGAGCTTCTCGCCCCGCGTGTCAAGCTCCTTTGATACCGATTCCCGCCCTGCTTTGCCGTCGGTGCTTCCGCCAGAAAACTGTGTTTTTTGTTCCTGGACTTCGGGTCCGCCACTCTTTGGGGCGATTTCGCAAGCAGGGCGGGAACTTCTCGCTCCGCGCGTCAAGCTCCTTCGATGCCGATCTCCGCCCTGCTTTGCCGTCGATGCTTCCGCCAAGCTACTGCGTGAATGTCAACAACTATTACCTTGTCAGAGGCGGGCATTTCCGCCCTACTTTTTCACATCGCTTGGGGTGCAATTCCGACACAAGTTTGAATGGGGATATCAGCCACAGCACGGCGGATCCGAAATCAGGGTTCGCCCCCTTGATCCTGGGAGCAGAAACTCTGGCTCTGACGCGCTTCCCTATCGAAGGACCCTGCGCGCTGAACGTTTGTGACATCCGTGATGCTCTCAACTGGAGACGACGGCCTCACGTTGTCCAGTGGCGGCTTCAGCCACTTATGCGGACTTAGCTGGGGCCACCTTGTGTGGAAAACGGGCCCATGGATTTGATGCATGAAGTGTGTATGTGTGTGTGGGCTACATTAGCAGATTGTACAGTTGCGCAGCTGCCTCTACACCTCACAGTCTCAGCGGCAAAGTGCTGGGGATAGCAACTAAGCGAGGGGCTCCACCTTCAAACATACCCCAAGGTGGGGAACCCCGCTCCCACTAGCAGCGCTGAGGTCTCCGCTTCCCCTCAGCGCCTGAAGTTGGTTTTGGCGAACGTGGGTGGGCAGCGGGCGCTGGACACAGCTGCCCGCGTCCACGAAGACACCCCACGCCTTTTCGCCTATGCATTGGCACGTGCATTTGTCGTATTCGCTGGACGCCATGTCCGCCGACAAGAGGCGCTGCAACCTGATGCGGCACATGTTGCCTCACTAGCTGAATCCGTGCGCTGGCTGCAGCTCCGCTCTTCGCCTTGACTGCAAAAGGGGCCCACAAAAGACGTGCGCGACCAACCGCGTACACGAATGCGGCCCCCCAGTCCGGGAGACCAACCTTGTGATACGGACGCTCGCGCAATGCGTACTTTCGAAACCAATGTGGATTCATGTGCGTGTACGTTGTTTTTTCACTCCTGGACGCTCCGCGATCGTATGTTCCATGTGTGAGCATGACCCAAACGCTTCGGCAGGCTCGGTGTTTCCTGGCTTGTGTGCGGAGACCTGCTTCAAACTGCTGCTGCGGAGTGTCAGCAAGAAAAAACCTGACTGAAGAGTCCCACCAGCCCTTTGGGCGACAGGTGGTCTGAGGAGGGTCTCTTTCCTCTTCCACAACCCCTCTTCCCTTCGGGGAGGGGGACCCTTCCCCTCTCCTCTCTGAGGTTTTTTGGGGAGGGGGCCCGATGTAGCAGAGGTTCCTTTTTTGGCCCCTGGGATGGTTAAGTTTTGACACCCCTCACGAGGATCGTAGCCCCCGAGGGAGGGAGCTACATCGAGGACACCCCTCTTTTGACCGACCGCCTCCAAGATGGCCCCAAGAGGCGCTCCAGGGCTCCCAAGAGGCCCCCAAGAGGGCTCCAAGAGCGCCCCAAGAGGCCCCAAGAGGGCTCCAAGAGGCACCCAGGAAGCACCCAAACGGCCCCGGAGCGGCCTCAAAGAGCCCAAGATGACCTCCAAGGTGGCTCCCAAGATGCTCCAAGCAGCCCCAAGACAGCTCCAAGACGGCTCGAGATGGCCACGGAGCCTCCCAAGCCTCCCTCGCTGTTTGACTATGCGTGGCTCTTCCTCTCTACCCCGTCAACTCTCATCGGCATCGTTTCTGCATGAGCTGGTGGGGATGCGCGAAGCGTCAATAATTAACATTTGCTCTGCTTTCGAGGAGGAGGAGGAGAAGCAGGAGGAGGAGGAGGAGGAGGAGGAGGGGGGGGAGGAGGAGGGGGTGGAGGAGGAGGAAGAGGAGGAGGAGGAGGAGGAGGAGGAGGAGGAGGAGGAGGAGGAGGAGGAGGAGGAGGAGGAGGAGGAGGGGGAGAAAGAGGAGGAGGGGGCGGGGGAAGGGGCCGCTGCAGCTTGATGCAAGACAAAAATCTGCCCCCCACGGAAGGGGCCGAGCCCTCGCGCCCGCTCGGTCTCGCCCGCGGTCGGCTCCGCCCAACATCGGCTCGGCCCGCGGCCTGCCTCGATGCGGTCGGCATCGCCCGGGTCGGCTTCGCCCGGCCGGCGTCGCCGCGAGCGCTTCCGCTGGGGTCGGTTGCGCTCGGCTACACACCAGGAGTGGCCCCCCCCTGATACCCTGGCATTGCAATTTTTTTCACAATCGGCGTCTTCGCTGAATTTCTGGCCCCCGGACCCTCACAGATCGATCCGGCTCGAGAAACTGACGCAGAGAGATGGAGTCCGGGGCTCCGGTCGTGAATTTTTGCGGTGTTGAATTTTTGTTTGCAACGGCGGATCTCAAGGTCTATGACCTTCAGTGCGCGGAATACGGGGGCGCAAGGCGGCCAAATCCAAGCGCGCGAGCAGCCACTATCGCATCGCGCTCAGCGATCGGGGGGACCCCTGTGAGCCCGCACCAGAGGTCATAACGGCGAAGGGTCACTCTTACGTGTAGTCGATTCACCCGGTCGGTTTGCCCAATCGGCTTGCCCAGTGTCGATTCACCCGGTCGGTTTGCCCAATCGGCTTGCCCAGTCGGGTTCGCCCAGTCGGGTTCGCCTGCCACTTCAGCGCCCCTCCTGCCCGCCCGTCAGGCTCCGCCCGCTTGACCCGCCCGTTTTAGCGCCCCGCCCGCCCGTTAGGGCCCGCCAACTGGCTTGCGAGCAAGCCCGCTCGATTTGCTGCAAGCCGGCATGCACAACTGTATAACATACAACTTTTCCGCCGTCGGGGACGCGTGCCCCATGACGGCTACAAGGCTTATGCCACGACGTGGCACTGCAGGGGTCTAAACTTTCCAGCCGCCCTGGGGCAGGCGTCCCCGACGGCGGAACAGTTTATTCTATACCGTTCTCCGTCCCCTGATCCAGAGCCAGGCAGGGGAAAAAGCATGGCGCAGCCATGGCTTGAGAGCTCTTTGGTTGCGTCCCGCCCGCCCGCCTGGCCCGCCCGTCAGGGCCCGCCCGCCCGGACCCCCTGTGGTCTGCCCGCTGCCTTGCGAGCAGGCTCGTCCGCCCGCTTTAACGCCCCGCCCGCCCGACCCGCCCGACCTGCCCGACCTGCCTGGTAGGGCCCAACTGACCGACCCGCCCGTTAGGGTCTCCCCCCCCCACCCCCCCCACCACCACCACCACCCCACTGCCACTGCTCCGACTCTTCTTCCTTTTCCTGCTCCTGCTGCTACTGCTGCTGCTGCTCGTCGTCGTCGTCGTCGTCGTCGTCGTCGTCGTCGTCGTCGTCGCTGTCATCGCCGTCAACGTCGTCGACGATGAAATCATGGTCATCGTCGTCGTCGTGTCGTCGTCCACCTGTTCCTCCTATTCCTCCTCCTCGTCTTTTTCCTTCTCCTCCTCACCCTCCCGCGGATTCTGCTTCTCGTTCTCGCCGTGCCGCTCATGGCCCGTCTTCCCCTCCTGCTCCGCCTCCTCTCGGGCGTCCTTCTTCTCCTCCTCCTCCTCTTCCTCCACCTCCTCGTCCTGCTCCTGCACTCCTGTTCTTCGTGCACATCCTCCTGCTCTTCGTCCTCCTCCGTCCTCCTCCTCTGCCTCTTCCTCCTCTTCCTCCTCTTCCTCTTCCCTCTCCCCCTCCTCCTCAGACTCACCTTCGTCCCCCTGCTGCGGCGAGAAGCACGACCCCCGTCGAAACCGGCTCGTGCTGTGCCCGCGGAACGAAGAGGAGCGAATCCGCCAGAGGCCTGGGCTTATGCGGCATCACAAGTAACATGCTTGGTTAGCCCATTCCGAAAACCCTGAATCACAAACAAAAGCAACCTTGAGCGACGAAAGCGAATGGGACTTCCACGATACGACCTGGGGACCTTACGCGGTGGCTGACGCGGGCCGCCGGCGCGGCACGCAAAGCTGGAAGCGAGGGGGCTTACATGAGACCTTGCGCGAGCACCTTACTCGCCAATGCTGGCGCAATCGAACCTGATTTTGCGTCGCTCACTTCACGTCTCTTTCAGGAGGGGAATAACACACAGGCACAAGTAATCGTCGACTCCCAGGAAAATATGCGAAAATATGGGAAGTGGGGAGGAACACGAAAACCCAGAAGATATGGGAAGATATGGGGAATCCTGGGATTCGTGCCTATTTATTTGGGTGTCCCTGGGCCCCTTTTACTTTTGGGGGTCAACTCTGGCTCTCGCTGGCCTGCTGACACCGAGGCCGGCCTCGTCTTAACTACTCCCGCCGGCCTTCCTGCGCGCCCTCCGCCAAGGGCGGGATGCCAAGCCACCGGTGCCTCCGAGGCGCAGGCCTAAGACGAAGCCAGGACAAGGACAACATCGGAGGAGGATAACTCGAGAATGCGTACGGCGAAGGTATTGGACAAGGAACCACTGGATAAGGAATCCAGGGCCTGGAAGCCGGTGAAACGCCAATTGAGGCTTGGCCATGGATGTCACCGCCGCCCTCATCAGCATTCCTTAGCCAACGCCCCCACGGTATCTGAAATCCGGCGGTTCTGGAGGATGCCTCGGGCGCCGCGGCCTTCTCGGAGCGCTCCAGCACGCCCTGAGAAGGTTTCCGGAATGCTCTGGAACGAATTCATCCTTGTCCGGCGAGCGCGTTTCACTACTCGCAAAGTAGCTACTCAGGCTACTCGCAAATGGCCTGGTTCCGTCAGCCGTGGGGGATCTACGATAAATGACATCGAAGCAGACATGTGTTTTCGGGGCGTTTGCGAGTAGGCACTTTGCGAGTAATGGAGCGCCCCACCTACGGTCACAAAGTCTTTTGCTGCGCGTGTCGCGGCGGTGGCCCTGGCCACGCGCTCGGCCCTGCAGGCGGGTAGGATATGTCGCTCCGCCGCGCGTGGCGGGCGGCTGGGCAAAGCTCGGAACGCTGACGCTCGGAGACTGGGGTGTGGTTGCCGCGCCGCGCCGCAGCGGGGTGGGCCACCACCGGCGGCGCGGCATGCTGAGCCAGAGTTCCCAACACGAATAGCACTGGCGGTGCTGTTCTGCAATGCTTTGCGCTGGGGCCCGTCCGGCCTCCGGGTCCATCCCCAATTCTTCCAGCTCCTTCTTCGCCGCGTCACGCCGCCTCAACACCGCGTCCCGCTCAGCGCGCAGTTTCTGAACCTCTTCCTGGGAAGAGCCAAAAGGAACCGATACCGCTCCACGGACCTCTCCCGGGCTGCGTTCTGACCAGAATTTCGAGGCGAATCCAGCCGTGGCGACGAGGGCCTCCCAGGAGGCCAAAGAAAGACGAAAACAAAGGGAAGGGTAGCCGTATGGATACCTTTTCCTCCTCCGACTTCCTGCTCCGGGTCGTGGTCTTTGTGCCACTGGACCAGGAAGTCCATGGAGAATTTCTCCACGTCGTCGGGCTTGTGCACCAGCAGGGACTTAGACCCAGACATCCGAATATGTGCTTTTTCAATGCGAAGTGGAAGGAGAAACGTCGCGATCGGGCAAAATCACATCGTCGGAAATCTAGAGAAACACCCCCCCCGAACGTTGACTACTCGACGGATCTCGAATTTCCAATTCGTAACTCGGGTTTCCGGGGGCCTTTCGGGACGATTCCGGCACCCCCAGAACGCCCGCGGCGAGGCGCAGCTTCTGGAAGGTATCCCAAGGCTGGAAAGCCGCCGAGACTGGACGAACACGTTCGAAAACCTCAAAACTCGAAGCTTCATCCCCCTCCCAACGCTGCCCCCGAGACGCTCCGAAAGTCTTCGAGAAATCGAAAAAAACTAGGACGCATCACTCCGATCCAAATCAATCCAGCTGGGACTCATGGCTTCGCGTTCCGCCCGGGGGTCTCTGGAGCCATCCCTCTCTCCGTGGGGGGAAAGGGGGAGGAGGAGGGAAAAGGACGCGACGGGAGTTGGGGGGGAGGGATGATGATGATGAGGAGGAGGAGGAGAAGGAGGAGGAGGAGCAGGAGGAGCAGGAGGAGCAGCAGCAGCAACAGCAGCAGCAGGGGCATGATGATGAGGAGGATGATGATGATTATGATGACACGCCCTTAAAGACGGGCTCCCGAGATCCGCGTGACGCAGAAGCGCTACCGAGAACTGTCCCTCGACAGAAGGTGGGGAAGAAAATAAGACAATGAGAAAAGAAAGCGAGAGGAGGGAGAGCAGGAGAAAGGGAGAGAAGAAAGCGCATATAAGAACCCAGACTGATCGGCTGATCCCAATTTGTAACTAGCCCTCCAGGCGGCGTTCGCATTGGAATCTTCCAAGAAACCACATAGAACGCGAGCAATGACTCACAACGAACTGGAATACAACCCATCGAACTGAAAAAAACCACCCGTGAATCGTGAAAATCCGATAAAATCACAGTGGCTGAGGGATCCTGTGATCAGAAGCCATTGAAGGTAAGGGGTCAGATGAACAATGGAAGCAGAGACTAGAGAGTAGGAGCCCAAATTGATTTAGAAAGGAAGAATGTGGAATAAACAGCACTGTGAACCCAAGTTAGCGCGCGAGAACATGAAAAACTCCAGCTTTTGCGAGAAATAAGCATAGCGGACCAGCCCAAGATTTATAACGTTTTGTATTGGGCAGGGTCTAGTGAGGAATACGGAGAAAGGTCTCCTTTAGTCGTGCATCGATGGAACAGCCCTCCACTTCCAGTAATCGACCACACCGTCGTCAGTCCAATCGAGACTGTCCAGGTAACACATCACGTTCTGTGCCCAGCCGCTCTTTGGGTCAACCCAGATCGCGTGGCATTCGTGTTCCCACACCTTTGTTTCGGACTCGTCCTGCTCGCTGTAGTGCCACCAGCCACCCGATCCCTCGTGCCACTTAGTCCTCGAGTTAGCGAGGAGGACGGCGAGGGTAGCCTTGCGCCCCCCGCGTTGCAAGCACAGGTGGAAGAACCCAGAGTGGTGGCGGGCCGCAAAGGGAGGGCGCAGTGCCTACTCTGTTTGAGGCTGAAATGCCGGTAGAGTAGACGCAGCGTAGTGCGCGCAGACAGAAGCGTCTCAAATATAAAAGCTCCCAGGCACTACGAGGAAGAAGACTAGCTATCGAACCGACGACGCTCCTCCACCTTACTCCACTCCACCCTGGCGTTGAGAGGACAAATCCGTAACCCAGAAGTCATATTCGAACGAGGCCCAAAGCGCATCCGCCTATCAACATCAAACCATTGGACAGTGTACGAAGATACAGAAAACCACAAGGACGACGAATCCCACGCCTGAAACTTCACTGGAAGAGAGTTCACGCGACTGTACCACAACGGAGAGGATTGCAGACGGGATAACACGTCGTCAGTCGCCAGAAAGTGTTTTGGTCTCGAATGCCCAAGGCCAACGCCATGTTCGATGACAGTGGGATCGTTCGGTTAGGGAGCAGAGGGGCGGAACGGGAGGCATGCGCGGACTGAATGCACAGGGTCTGCAAAAGTACATGTACAAACTTCGAGCATCAAGTGGCTGCGATACAACGCCGACAGCTACATGTACTAGAGCCCGCGCGAGGCAGGGTGCCCAGGACACCCGCAGAAATGGAATCGAGATAAGAAGCCCATCCTGAGAGGCCGTTCCAGTCGGACGCCAAAGATGGGAACAAACCGAGGAGGAACCCCAGATCCCACAAAAGAGGGCAAACCCAGAGGGACAGGCGGGAGGTGGGGCTCTTTTTTTCCATGCGCAGCCCCGGCCAGGCCGTCTGAACAATCAATTGGCCTCTGAGGGGGCGGCGCTAGAAAACATGCCAACCCAAGAAATATGCAGACCTCAGATGAGGCGTGACTGAATTGTGAACTGAGAAGAACCCAATCATAGTAAGAGAATGCGAATGATAATGAGAAAGAGCGGAGACAGCAATAACCCACCATGAGGAACGCAATTCAGAATGCTGACCGTTGCTTGCATAAAAGGTGGCACCTCGCTGATGCGTCATGAGGGCCGCAGTAGACTGAAATCAGATCGCTCACATCTTCCACCTCTCCCATTTTGAGCAGTAGGACAGGGCCTCACCGCCCTTAATATTCCTGGAGCTGCTCGCTGATTTGGCATGGGGGATGATATGCGGGCCAACCTCTTTGGCTTCGTCGCTCGTCGCAAAGGAGCAGCCGCGGAACTTCATCTGAAACCGCCCCGCAAAGGCGAACCCATAGCGATGAATAGTGTCGATGGCATCGCTGGCCCTGGGGAACCCCTTCTCTTGGGGGGCAGGAGTCCCCGAGTTGCTGAGAAGAGGGCCTTGGCTGTCGACAACAAAAGGGGTGAGTTCCTTCGCCGTGTAAATAGAGCCTGATCCAGCATCGCGTGAGCGGAAGTCACAATCGGTAAATTGAAGACAAAAGACTAGAATGCAATTCTCCCTGTCCGCCTTATCGTAATCCAACCCATCTGAAGGAGGAAATATCGGACAGACATCTTCATCCTTCCTGATCTGGGACTTGAGAATGGGCGGGCCAATCGGGCTGACCCACGGCTTGACGGAGTGCTCCCACGGTTTGGCTGGTGGGATTCGAGGCCCGGGAACCGCTTTAGCACCCGCGGGCTCTGCGCTGGAATCGGTGGAGCTGGAACCGCTGGCCCCCCCATGTGTTCCCCCCTTGGAAGAGTCTTTCTGGGCGTCGGCGTGGCCAGCTGACTCGTAATCTTGTGTAGCGGGCGTGCTCTTGCCCCCAGGGGAGCCAGCGCCTCCTCCTGTTGGACCATGACCGCCTGGTGCCATTCTGCGCCTTGCAATCGGCGACCTGCCGCGGCTCCTGCTGGCGGACCTTTTCGGAGCCTCTTCAGTAGCAGCAGGTGCAGTCGGCGGAGGTGGAGGCAGAGGGTTCCCGGGCAAAACTGGCGGCGGGGACTTCGTTGTGGGCTCCAATATGGTCTTCCTGTACTTCTCCAGCATATATTTTAAAAGCTTCTGCTTCTCAGCCGAACCCAAAGGGGTGCCTTCGTCGCCGCCCTTGCCATCTGAAGCCATTTTGCGATTGAATGCCCGCCGGCCCAGAGCCTTGCGATCGAAGGAACCCGGAAGAAGTGGGTGCGGTTAGAGAAGAACCCAGGGGAACAGTGGGAGTGATTGGACACCAGACCTCGTCCAGGTCAGGAGAAGGTCGATCTTCTGCTGAAGAAGAGATTGCAATGATAAGGCCTCCGATCAGAGGCGGGGCGAATAAAAGCACAGAGGCGCAGCGCATACTTGAGCCGCGCAGTTACTGAGAGGAGGAGAAATGATACTTCATGCCCAATCCAACATGACCCGAGCTAGTTGATGACGCACCTTCTTGTCTCGAGAGCCCTCGTGAGAGAAACGAGAGGTCCAAGACCTGATCATATCGTAAAACATGGTCCCTGTGAATTCTGGAATTGGCTCGGCTACCCCTGGGCTGTCAAAACACCGATTGTCCGACACCCAGTGTTTACAGTTTCGAAAAAGCCGGGGGGAATGAATGGTCTTCAGGATGCCTCTGCACGTGTGCAAGCCAGCTACTGGCTGACTCCGTATGGACAAGAGTCCGGCAGACGCCCCTGTACTGTTTGACTTTCCTGTTCCTCCTGGGGTTAAACTGATCGGAAGTCCCCTCAGACTGTCTTTTGGTCTTAAGCGTGATGTTGATGAGTTTGTTCGGGGTTTTGGAAATAAAATCCCAAGTATGCTTCGAGGGAACCCAAGCAGCACCTCTCGACCTGATGATGCCGCAGGCCATGCGGTTGGGTTCCCCAAGCCGTGTGCTCACAGGAATTTTGCCATTCACAAGAAATGTGCTATTGGACCAAAACGCGCTGCAAATCTGCTGAAGCCCCCTGCGAACATCCGCATTGCATGAGCCGTTAGACAACATGATACCGATAATCCTCGCCTCAGATACGACAGTCCACTGAGGTCCGCCTGCGTCCGTCCTGTCGGAGCTGTCGAAAGCGCGGGGATCGGAGGCGAGGATTTCCCTGTCTGGTTGGATACGGACCCTATGCAACTCCCAGAGAACCCCTTCGAGGACACTCGCGAGCCGAGTTAGATCTTCGAAGCTAGAACCTATCGCGAAGATGTTGTCTGACCAACTGAGGAGGGAGGGAGAGAAGTCAATCCCCGAGGTCTCGCTTCTCAAATGGATGCCCAGGGATGCCCCATAGATCTTTCCAAGGGCGCAGATGAAACAGTCTTCCACGGTGGTTCTTGCAGGCGTACATGCCGTGCCAGCTCCCTGCGCCAACCCCCTTTCGGCGGTCGATCACATCCGTCTCTGAGTCTAAGATGGAAAAGGTGACCCTGGGCCCCCTGCGAAGTCTTAGGCAACCCATTGCTAGAAAGCAACATACCCCTCTCCCAGTGAGGCTTCTAAGTGCTAACCCATAACGTATTTGATCGCGATGAGCTTTGATGTCTGTGATGCCCGCCATGCCGTTGTTGACATGATCGCGGCTATGCTC